TGAGGAAGGTACCACCTGTACTGTACCTGTGCGTTTCGTTTTTCTTGCCTAAATGTAGAACCTGACTCTTTTCACCATTGAATTTCATTTTGTTTCATTTCATTTTCAACCTTCTCTATTGGGAAAAGAACGTGCAACATTGCATTTTGATTTTGGGGCCATCCAGATAATGTGTGAAAATTTTCGCAAGTCCCAACAGAATGATTTGATGAGATCTTTAGCGAATCGGTGCATTTCTTTCAGGTTTTGCTGAGCCCCACTGCGTCACAGTAATCCAGCCTCGGTCTCACATGGAGCTTGCTAACAAAAATGTCCTTGTGTGACTCACAAGGCAAGTAGTACTGTACCGATGGGAGATAATATTTGCCACTCAGGAATGAACCGTGGGCATCTCTGAACTTGGTGGTTTTCTTGCAGACGTTTCATGACCCATCTAGGGAATATCATTAAAAGCAGCTGCAGGACTGCAAGAAAACAGCCAGGCTCAGAGAGTTACCAAGGACTCCACAGAAAGAGAAATCCAGATAAGCATGGATTAACACCAGACAAATAATCAAGGAGGAAACAGTATCCTAATGAAGGAATTGGGGGGGGGGGGAAACAACATATTTCCAAAAACACTACCAGGGCAAACCACTTGTATATAAATAGAGGTTAGCCTCTGCTCTCTTCTAGCACTGATGATGTTACCCAGTTGGTTCATGAAATGCTTGCAAGAAAACAAGCAAGCTCAGAGAGCACCAAGGACCAACAAATAAAGTTGTGTTTAGAAGGACCCTCCCTCCAGTCCCTCCCTCCCTTCCTTCCTTCCCACCTTCCCATTTTCCTTCCTTCTACACCCCCCTCCCTTTCTCCTTCCCTCCCTCCCAACTCTGTTATTCTATAATTCTGCAATGATCTCCTGCTTGAGCAGGGGGCTGGGCTAGAAGACCTCCAAGGTCCCTTCCAACTTTGTTACTCTGTAATTCTGTAACAATCTCCTGCTTGAGCAGGGGGTTGCACTAGAAGACCTCTAAGGTCCCTTCCAACTCTGTTATTCTGTAATTCTGTAAGGGCCTCCTGCTTGAGCAGGGGGCTGGACTAGAAGACCTCTAAGGTCCCTTCCAACTCTGTTATTCTGTAATTCTGTAAGGGCCTCCTGCTTGAGCAGGGGGCTGGACTAGCAGACCTCCAAGGTCCCTTCCAACTCTGTTATTCTGTAATTCTGTAAGGGCCTCCTGCTTGAGCAGAGGGCTGGACTAGAAGACCTTCAAGGTCCCAATTCTGTAATTCTGTAAGGGTCTCATTCTTGAGCAGGGGGCTGGACTAGAAGACCTCCAAGGTCCCTTCCAACTCTGTTATTCTGTAATTCTGTAAGGGCCTCCTGCTTGAGCAGGGGGCTGGACTAGATGACCTTCAAGGTCCCTTCCAACTCTGTTATTCTGTAATTCTGTAAGGGCCTCCTGCTTGAGCAGGGGGCTGGACTAGANAATGATCGGTGTGTATTTTTTGTACTTTTTGCAAAAAAAAAAAAAAAAAAGTTCAGGACTGCATTCTCAGAAAAGCAGTGACAATACAACTGGCCATAATTCCTAATTCTGAATTCCCTGCCTTTCATTGCATGAAAGAATTTGTTAGCACAACCATCCCCAACTTTGCAATATTTTTTACTTGTAATTAACTCTAGTTTATCTTATCTCAAGCCAGCTAACTTGGAGATGAGGTCTTGTCAGGCAGAACACTAGGAAATCAGTTTTAGCATGCTAAATTCCTGAAAAGCTACTATCTCCCCAAGACAAGGGATCTTAGTTACAGCTATTCCATCACAGTAGTTTTGAAATACATTCAATTCAGGCATCCCTCAGGATTCGCACAAGGTACCTTAGTTTCTATCGAATAACAAAATACAGCATGTTTGTTTAGAATCTTTCATAACAAAAATAGTTAGCATTGAGAAACCTGGTTTTCACTTTCCATATTGCCAAATGATACAAATGCTTTTATGTTTTAGAAGTGATTGAATAGTTTCCCAATTGTAGTTTGACTCCCATCTTTGCATTTAAAGGATCCTGATTTTTCCATTATTTGTTCCCCTGGCGCAGAGTCTGCTTTAACACTAAGAAGGTCACTGTTGTCAGTGTTTCTTTTGATAATTTTAGCACTGTTGGCTCTTTTCAGTGTGCCACCATTTTCCTTTGGGTTAAAATCATCAGAGGCGGCTGTTACTTTCATTCGAGGTAGTCTTTGAGACAAAGACCTTGTGAGAGGTGGGGCTCTGGAAGGAGGGGGCAAATCCACCTTTGCGCATTTTGACGAAGAGGCCACTGTGTTTCTTGCAAAACTCGGAACAGGAGCTGGTGCCTTGGGAGCTGTGGCAGATGTGCTTTTGTTAGCATCCACAGGGCCCTGAGATTTGTTCAAGGAGCGGCACATTTTTGTTTCATCAGTTTTTGACTTGGGGACATATCTGACGGGTTTGCAACTGGGCTTTTTAAAAGAGCCTTTGTGCTGAAGCTGCTCCTTCTCACAATGGCCACTGCTTGAATTTGAAGTTCCATGCTGAAATTTTGGCTCTTCTACTGATATACTCTGCCGATAGGGAGGTTTTGGCGCTGCGTCTACAATACCCCGGACGGAGTTACGACGTGACAGACGTGTTTCAGCTACAGCCGTGTCTCGAGATGCAGGCTTGGCCTCTGGTTTTTTGGGGCAACTAGGAGATGCTGGTTTAGTGGACCTAGAAATGGGTACAACTTTTCTCATGCTTGCATTTTCTGATGAATTCAGAGTTCTCACAGGTCTGGGATGATTTGGAGAGGCAGTGCTGGGTTTTGTGGTACCTGAAGTTTTGTCTTTCAAGGAATTTCTCTTTGGTCCTAATGAGTCTTTGCTCCTTACTGATTTCTCCTTTGGAAAACTAGACTTATTGCTGCAGTCAGATTTATCATTAGAAAAGATGGCATTTTCACCAGTTTGCAGTTCATTCATATAAGAGGAGTTAGCACCATTTTTGTTATCTATTTTATTGCCACCTAACTTCGAACTTTGATCTTCTGAGAGATCAAGTGTCAATGAACATTCAAAATCTGATTCAAAGAAAACTGGTCCTTGAGTTTTAGTTCCTGAAATGCTACCATCTGAAGAGATGGGGCTATCATTATCAGGTTCCAGAGCTTCATTAACGTAACTCATCGTTTTGGCAGAGTGTTCAATTGTATAATGAGTCTTTTCTCTATTGGATGGATCTCCTGTAATGCCAGGAGAGTGTAATGGACCATCTTGAGCATCCAAGCCTTGCATTCCAGCCACAAAATGAACTGGAGATGAATCCTCTACATCATTTGTTTCATGAGAGTCAAACCTATGCAGTCTTGGAATATGTTCATGTTCTTCCATAGATAGATCCCAAGGAACTGCATCGCCGGATTCTACACAAGGCACATTAAACCCATACTTGTCATTATTTGACCTCTCTTGATTGCTATAGAGGTTATCATGGGAAGCATCTTCTACATGTTGAGCCTGAGATGGGAAAAACTGGTAACTGTGGACCTTGTTTTTGGAAACTTGGTCTAAGTGCAAATGAGTGAAACTGACATCCACAGGCTCCTTATTTTCTGACCATGCTACATTTGGTCTTGTTGGAAAAGGATGTTCACGAGGGAGGCTGTTAAACTTGTTCAGATCTTCTCCTTTTGAGGTACTCAGGAAAGTAAAGAGTTCTCTTTCTGCAGTCACGCCCAAGGAATGTCGAGAGCGTCTTGTGCTGGTATTTCTGTAAGAAGGACTTTGGGGTCTTTGTTGCAAAAAGGGTAAAAACTCTTCAAGTCCGCGCTTTGTTAGTGCACCAACATCATTTTCACTACTGCTCCTGCCAAAAGCACTGATATCCGCAGCAACCCACGACCGGCGTTTGTCCTCCAGCTCTTTAAGTCGCTGTAGCTGCTGAAGTTGTTGAACCTCTCTTTCTTTGTTTTCCTGTTCAGAAAATACATATTTATAATCATGGAATTAATTACTTATTTACATTGAATTTTCCCTTATATTAATCCTCTTTACCTGTACCCCATCTTTAGCCTTGATTTTTTTAAAAAACAAAGTAGCACTGTAATAATTTTCTGTCAGAATATGAAATGGAGTAATAAATATTTTTCGAATGCCTCATTGCAAGTACATAGGCCTAACTACAAGTGGCTTATTATATGCTCCTCAAATTTTATTCCATTATGCTCAAACATTCTTTAAACATTCGACTCAGTCATAATATTGTCCAGAATTCTAAAGTTGTCATTTAATGTATTAGGAAAACATAAGCAAACCAGTCAAAACAAACAGTAAAATTCATGTCCAGATTTGAATATGTTTTCTATGAATGTAAGCACATTTTAAGTACAAGGTAGGATAATGAACCATAGTTCAGTATGCTTAGCATTATTCCCATATTGTTTTCTTTTATAAAGCATTTAAATGCTTTTAATGTGGTACGGCGATGTGATTCTTGCCTTTTTAAAAAATCTGGGTTTTCTGTGCCATAAAAACACTGCAATGAAAACCATCACTTGCAAGTAAAACAATGCTCATCCACCAGTCTACACTTCACACAAACCAGATTGGAAAGAATTGATAATTCTCATGTACCTGCAGGTTTGGTAGTAGTCATCTGGGCATTCACACATGTGATTACATATTTGCACATTTAAAATCTTCTACAGCTTATAAAAACACCTGATATAAGTTTTATTCCACACATATAATTCCCATTGAACCCCTTCAGATTCTAAGACTGAAACAGAAGATCTGAGAGATCTTTTGAAACCAAGTCAGTTGGAGGATGAAATGTGTGAATGCACATATAACCATTTGAAGAACTGTAATTCTTCATCATTACACAGACATAGGCAAGTGTCTTGCTTGAAAGGGAGTTTTGTTGCCATAAGGTAAATGAAGAGAGGGCTGCTTTCAAGAGACTGTTACCCTTGAGATCAAAGATGCAACCTATAATACTGGATAATGAAGGAGAATAAGTCCATGTATCCATGTACCATAAAGAGAACACCCTAGAAGAATATTTCTGATGTTGACATTGTGTTAAGAACCAATTTTGGATAGTTGGTTATGATTACCATTTGGAAAATAATGAGGCAAAAGTTCAGAGTATTTTAAACAAGGACCATTAAAAGGTGTGAGAACATTTCCATATTATTCAGTATAGGTATGACAGACCTCTGATGAATAAAATTATGCTTCCAAAGGAGATTAGAGTTTTGTAAAAGGCAGACAGTGTTATGTCTAATTTAACCAAAAAGCAGAAGTTGATTTTGGAAGGAATGAAATAAATAGATTAAGGACTGATTGTTCAATATAACTATATAATATTAAATAAGATAAACTGGTAGCTATATGATTAGTGGGTTCTGACACTAACATTGAGAATGAAAAAGCAGCTCCATGTCAGAAGAAGAAGGGCAGCTGGAAGATAGAAAAATGGTGGGTTGCAGGCGATACGCCCTGGTACGGGCATACCAGAGTCTCCCCGGAGCACCGGGTACTGTTCCGGTATGGTGCTCTGGAGGGTCCACCCGAACTCCTTACCTGTCCTTTAAAGCCTTCAGCGCTTCCGCACGCGCCCTGTGTGACGCTCCGCTGAGCAGCTGGAGTGTCGCAGAGGCTTGCGGAGGCGTCACTGGCAGGTATGATGCATACACGTGCTGCGTACATGCGCATGCGTGTGCGCTGCACACATTCATGTGAGTGACACCAGGCCCGTCCAACCACTGGGATAGAACTATGCTAAGCTTTTCACCAAGCATTAAAATCTGGGAGTTTAAAAAAAACCTCATTACTAATTTTTAAAAAAATAGCAACCAAGTATATATTTTACTGATGGAAAAGCCAAACTGTTGTTCTACTTAGGGAAGAAAAGCCAAGATATCCCATGCTATTGTAAAAGGTTCATCTGCTGTCTAGGAATGATGTCTACAAAAATTCCCAGGAAACCCTGGTGGAAATGTTACAAGATGGCAGTAGAACTTGTTCAATCTCACCACAGTGGGATTGCAAAAGTAAACCCTCTAAACTGAAAAGAGGAGGAAATAAAATCTGGTAGAAGACTTGGCCTTGACAGTGAATTACAGGCCAGGGCAGTTTGGCAAATGGAGCTACTCTTAAAAGGTGACAAGAAACAATAGGGTGAACCAAGATTGTCAGAATCACTAAAGTGTGGCAAGAATTTATTTTGACTTGCTGATTTTTGCCAGGACTCTAGTCAGCATGAGAAATATCAGAAACATATAATATGGATCTGGCCTTGCCAGGTGGGTGGAAAATACTGAAAATGGAATTAGTGATGTGTCACAGAATATCTGTAGCATCAGGTACAGAAAAGGGGCATATTTTGTGCTATCTTGATTGTTTTTGTACAGGACTGCTACAGAACTGTCTCATATAATCTACAAAGTGTGGCTCTAGAGGACAGAAGATCCTTGAAGGAAAAGGCAGAAGGCCTAATTAATGAAAACGTGAGGTAAATAGGGTATAAGACCCTTCTCCAAGACCCTTTGAGAAAACATTTCAGACAAGCCCTGAAGGTAAGCTAAGGTAGCAGGGTCATCAGTGCAGTCAATTAGAAGGGAACATTTAACTGTAAGCTGCTCAGAGTCATAAGGACCTGGGTAGCCCATTAATGGAATAAATATATCATTCCTGCAGTGCTGACAGGATCCTAAAGCCAAAGGCTGAATATCCACATCAATAAAAGACAGCCAATCTTCCTGTATCCATGAGAGTTGAGATCATGAGTAGCAATGAAACAAAGTAAATAAAATAAAATTATAATTTAAACAAGTCTGAGGGAACAAGCTCAAAGGTGAATGTATTACTGCTCTGGAGGTCAAGAATAAACAAATAGCGTTCAGCAGGAACTATGCCAAGGACCACATGAGAAACGTTTTGCAGGGCTACCACCAAACAAATGTCTATAAATTTTAGAATGTTCAGATACCTGCCCAGGTATTAGCAAGTGTTTAGCTATTATCAGCAATATACATAAGGTAATATATTTTAATACATTTTCTGTATTTTTCAGTGTATAAGACGCACCCCCCCCCAAAAAAAGTGGTTCGAAATGTCTGTGTGTCCTATAGAGCAAATGTTGCTAAAGCCCCGTCCATCCTCTGCCTCCCAGCAATTTGCCTCTTTGCAACAAAAAGCAAACAGCCTGGTCATCTTCAGCATAGCTGATTTAGCACAGCTGATTGGTGGTTGGATCTGCCTCCTGGAATGCTGCTGATCAGCTGTTCAGGCTGTGGGGATCACCACCCATTGCTGCTGCTCATTGCCACCTCTGCTTCCACATGCCCCATTTTTGGCCTCCATAAGTCCCATTTTCAGCCCATTCTAGGCAGCAGGGATAGGCGCCACCACCGCCTGGAATGGGCCAAAAACGGGGCATGGGGAGGCCAAAAATGGAGCACACAGAGGCGGCGATATTGATAGGTGGTATTGTGAGAAGCCAATCCAACTGCCAATCAGCTGCTCATGCTAAATTAGGCTGTGCTGAAGATGACCAGGCTGTTTGCTGTTTGCTGCAAGGAGCAAATTGCTGGGAGGCAGGGGCAGATTTTTTTTCTTGTTTTCCTCCCCAAAAGCTAGGTGCATCTTACAGTCCTGAGTGTCTTATAGTCTGAAAAATATAGTATATCCTTGGCCTTTCAAGCAATGCCTCTGAATTCACATCTCATATCTCAGTGATTGGAGGTCATGGGAATCTAGATAGGGGGAAACAGGCTCAAGCTCAACCCCAAGAAAACTGAGTGAATGATGATTTTAGGATCACTTGTAAATAATTTCTAATTCTGGAGGGGGATATACTGCCATAGACAGATACAAACTGCAATATGGGGGTTTCCTTAAAAATGGCTCCTGATTGAAGAATAGGCAATAGCTGTAATCGTGAAAACCTTTGCATAAATTTATCTTGTATGCCAGTTGTGCCCATTCGAGGGCCACAAGGTCTTACTCAAGTCAGTGTGTCCATAGAGTAACAAAGATGATTATGGGACTGGAGATTGAAACATATAAAAAATATTAATGAAAAGAAGGACTAGGGGAGATATGATAGCAGTGTTCCAATNGTGAGTTCTAGTTCTACCTTAGGCATGAAAGACAGTTAGGTGATTTGGGACCAATCACCAGGAGACGGTGAGTTCTAGTCCCACCTTAACCATGAAAGATAGTTTGGTGATTTCAGGCCAATCACCAGGAGACTGGGAGTTCTAGTCCGGCCTTCTGCATTTGCCTAACAATTTGTAGGACTCATTCAACCATCGCAGTGATTCATTTAGCAACCACAGCAAAAGAACGCCCTGAAATCATATCTGATTCTCTTCCTGAGAAACAGAAATCGTGGTCGTAAATCGAGAACCAGAGGTAGAGAAAGAAACCGTTCCGAAAGAGTGACAGTTGGATGGATTTCAGTGTTGAACCGGTTTCAGTTGGATTAAAGCCAAGACAGAGCAAGATTTAGCAGCAAGAAGAAAAACAGAATCCACAAATCCATAATTTGTGGTTAGTGACAAAGAAATTTCAACCATCTCCTGCCCTGAGTGGGGTGTGTGTGTGTGTGTGTGGGTTGGACTAGAAGACCTCCAAGGTCCCTTCCCAACCCCATTGTACTTCTATGCTCTATTTTATGTTCAGCCATGCATGGAAGTTAACTGTACAGGTAGTCCTCAAGTTATAACAGTTCACTGAGTGACCATTCAAAGTTACAACAGCACTGAAAAAAAGGGATTTACGGCCATTTTTCACACTCACACATCCCCATGGCAATCAAAATTCAGACGCTCAGCAACTGACTTGTATTTACGACCGTCGCAGTGCCCCAGGTCACATGATCACCCTTTGCGGCCTTCGGAGTGCCACTGTAATGTTGGACCGTCACTAAACAAATGGCTGTAAGTAAGCCGAGGAGTGGGAAGGGACCTCAGAGGTCTTCTAG